AATCAATTTTGGACGAAACCTTTGACAAGTCAAGTTTTGGGGTAACTCTTGATACATTGCTAAGGGACTCTGATTTGGTCAGGTCGGATTTCGACCCTTGGAGTTTACTGATGTCAGTCTTGGATGACCGAAGGGAGGTCTGGGATGGAGTCTTTGTAAGGGGAGAGAGGGAAGGGGAGGAGGACACACTGGTGAGGGAGGGGGTTCTAGCAAGATGGGATGAACCTGGAGGGGTTGGAATGGTTGACCCAAACGCTCGGGGCTGCTGCAATTTACCAAACATAGGTAACCTGTAATAAGATAAAATTACGGAGTCACATTCAGCAGTGGCTTCCTGTACCTTGAGGAAAATACTGGAATAAAAGGTTTAGAAAAAAAAACAAAACAAAAATAGATACCAACAGATGTAAAGATGAGCAAATAAAAGGGAGAAAATAATCACCTGGAAACTTCCAAGACCATTTCCCAGAGGAACCACCGCTCAAAAAACACCCATTGAAGCATCCCTAATGCTGGGGGGAAAAGTCGCCCAAGCACTGGTGAGCATGCAAGACCTTTGTAAAACAGATGCAACACCGCAAAGAGACTGTGGTTTTCTCGTACCACTACTGCTTGCTTCAGACAACCACCACAACACATACTAAATATAATATAAATGACCAGCCTGCATTCCAGAGTAAGCTGCAGTCTAACATCAAAACATCAATTTAAAAAAAATGAGAGAAAAATAATAATCTCTTGTCCATCACTTGTATCCTACCTCAGTCGGTCTGGTTTTTGTGGTACAGGGTTTCCCGTTGGTTTCCTTTTCAGACTGACAGCATGGAAAACAAAAATCAAGTTACAAAAAGAAGTATTTGTAAAAATCTGTTGGCCTGCTGTATGAAAAGATATTCACAGAACCTCAAAATTCTCTATGAACAATCTTAGTATTTCAAAGGTACTATGGAATTTTCTGTTGCATGAAAAGATATTATTACATCAACTACTGAAATAAGTTTCTCTGTTTCTCTCTCTCTCTTTAGAAGTTCTGAACTTGCTGCCTTTACTATCACATGAGAAATATAAACAAGAATCTTTTTTTGAGGTCTCTTTAAAACACTAAATAAAAAATAAACAAATAAAAAACAAATAAAGAACTGAACAGAAAAGAAAAAGATACAAGGAGACAGTATTACTTCTTGGTTGACAGAGTGCAATACTAAAGTGCAGCACTGGGACCACACCTACAATTATACTGTAAAAAAAGAAAGGGGGAAAAAAGGAAGGGAAAAAAATAAAAATAAAATAAAATAAATAAATAAAAAAAAGTCCAATTACCTACTGGAAAATGTTTGAACTAGGGTGTTAATTTATCACGAAAAACAGGCAACTCCCTACAAACTGATGATCTGTACCACGACACCGACAGAAAAAGTTATGAGAACTTTAGCACACTGGGCATTCCTCCACCTTACAATTTCTATGGCACTGGTTTATAGGGCACTCTGACTACAAAAACGTGTGAGCTCTTGATGCACCACCATCCACCACTGTGGGAATGGGGAACTAATGTGTGGTTCCAAATTTGGTGTTTAGATCAACATGATGATGAAGTGTGGACTTTAATGAGTGAGTAAGAAAGGACAAGGCACACTGCCTATTGTGATACTGAAAAGAAAACGAAAAAAGAGGGGGGGGGGGGGAAAAAAAAAAAAAAAAAAAAAAATCAAACAATTCAGCTTAATCAAAATTGTCTCCTTTTCAAACTTAAAATTCATGAAGAGGAAGGAGGTACATTTGTCAAAATAATCATGGGAAAACAAGTTCAAATTCTGAAAATATTTCAAAGAACAGAAAGGAATTGATAAAACAGAAAGTGGTACAAAAGCACAAGATAAAGAAGCTGAGTTTTTATATTAACCCATTGGATCCGGATGCTTCACTGCCATCATGTGGCCCACAGTATGGGCATTAGGCTTACGTAAGTGAACACTCTGCCGGGCGTGGCTTGTAGGCCAGGTGCAAAGGAATACAAGGTGACAAGACACCATGCCCCCCTTTTAAAATGTTACTGTCTTTTTCAGCATGAACATTTTTAGCTTTTTTGCCATTTTCCAAAGTCTATACTTGTCATTTGATTTGCTTTATCCAGATGGTAATAGACTGTTTTCCTTGCACAAACTCCATATCATTTCTCCAGGTAGTCTATTACTCAATGCAACAACAATGATGATAAGTAACAATTTGTTAATTGTGTCATCTTTATTTTTTTTTAATATTTAATTTTCTGTACTACAACCTGGGCTACTAGTCATGGCAGGCAGGAATAGAATCTGAGCATGGAAATAGCATCCTTCCTGGAGTCGGTGCTCTTCCAATCATAGCTCACAAACATTACATTCAACACTTGTTTATCAATGGAAGTAAATGCTAAATGTGTCTAATCACCCTTCAAGAAATTTGTGTACTCATGGCAAGTCTTTTTCATCACCTCGGGCTTCAGCTAAAATGCTTATGACGACCAATTTGCGTCGCCTTGGCCCACAGCCAGACGGTACATTCACATCACCAGCCCCTCAAGCCAGATTTTTTCATGACGTGATGGTCATGTCATCCGAATCGTAGGGGTTAACTGTGCATAATCATGAGTATACCCTTGTGCTCATCTGTTATTATCGAGGTTAATACAATCCTACAATCGCTAACTAGATCTATCAATTCAACATTTATCTTTATTTTCCTGTTGAAACATAAAAATATTTAATCTGAAAATAAGAAAAAGAAATAAAAAAGTAAAAAAAAAAAAGAAAAAGAAAAAAGAGAGAAGGTAAAGATGATAAAAACCTGGTATGTTTCCCTTGCCAACTTCACAACAAGTAACCCCCAATGTCTTCTTGGGCCAATAAAAATAATGTGATGCAAATATGGAAAGAAAGAGGTGTGACAGCCACATGTTTAACACAAAAGGATCTTCCTTCAATACAAGGTGTTAAAGTGACAACAAGAATCTAAATGCATATGTTCAAGCACCAACTACTTGCTTTGCTGCTAGAAAAATGAAAGATACAAAAATAAAATATCAATAAAATCAAAAGATCAGAGAACTCTTCACATTGAAAGGCCATCCAACTTGCTTTACTTGTACTGAGGAAAGTCCTTAAGGTGGTTTAGAGATTTGGACATGGGGTGACAAGTGGGGTGGGGTGGGGGGAGATGGTTAGTTCTGTGCATAATTACGGGTAATTAATTCTCCGATGTTGTGGGGGTTTTATTATCAGACAGGGATTACGAGTGTCAAAGTGCAGCAGTACCTCACATCAAAGGTTATCGCGGGCCTGAGGGCTTTGCAGTGAACAATCCTCCGTGGTGCAAAGGAAAAGTAGTCAGTGCTAAGGTTTGCCAAGGCTGGCGTCAATATGGCATGCACTGCTTATTTTTTTTCTTCTTCTTTTTCTTTTGAGATTTTATCTTTTTACTTTTTTTTTCCCCTAAGCAACAACAAAGGTGATCAAAGTCATAAACGAGTGTGGCCAGTGGCAACATGATTACCTTGTTTTTTCTCAGGTTTGGGCACATTTTGGGAGAAGATGGAATGAGACCCGACCTCTCCCCTTAGCCTATGACTTTATTCTCTCAGATGTGAGTATTGCATGCTAAAGTGAAATCATCAAATTTTGAAGAGATCATGAATAAACTTAGTAGAGCTAGTACAGTGTATGTGACAGGTGAATACAAGTCCAACATTGTCTGTTGGAGAAAAACAATTATGTTGAAGAACTATTAATGAGCCAATTGAGTGAAGACCTTTGAAGAAACCTATTTATGCACTGAAGGGCTGAACCCCACACACCCAAAAGAGACAGAGCCAACCACATATACGATGAATGACATAAAGTGTAAAAAAGAAAAATGAAAAAGAAAAAACTGACAAAAACAAGTTAAAATACATTTGTGCAAAGAATGGGGGGGAAAAATAGCATGGGGAAAAAAAATTCCCTTTATATATCAATACCCAAACTCTTGCTCCTGAAATGAGATCTAAAAAGAATCTTGGAAAAAAAAAAAAAAAAAAAAAAAAACTGACAATAACAATAGCATTAACATAAAATAAAATTCAGTATGAATCAATCTTTGCTCTTGTAATCTTGCCAAAAAATTAATAATAGACAAAAAAAGTAAAATAACAATCCCATGGATCATAGTAAGAATGTGGGTCTTGGTGCATTGTCTGATACCAGTGCATGAGAAGAGTAATCAAAAATAAATAAAATAAATTTCATAAGCAGCATTGGCCTTCTTACCTCGTGGGTTCTACCTTCCGCTTCAAGCTAGATATGAGGAACAAAACATAAGGTTGAGTTAAATTATGATACTTGCAGCCTGTGTTCATCTCTAAAGCAATGCTAATGGGACATGAGGGGGTTTTGACTTCAGGCATTCTGCTTACTGCTAAGTTTGATAATGTTGGAATAACAATACTTTTTACTTCCCTTCTGCATTGATTTAGAGTTTTTCTTCTATCTTTTTCTTTTCTTATTCATATCTATCAAAAAAATGTTAGCTATTCTACAGGAGGGTATTACTAGTTTATAGCATACCACCCATATCTTATGGCAAGTTAAAAAAGTAAAAACACAATAACATTATATAGCCATATTAGTCCTTCAAAAATGACTTCTCTCCATATAGATACATATATATATATATATATATATATATATATATATATATATATATAGATATAGATATAGATATAGATATATAGATATATAGATATATAGATATATAGATATATAAATAGATATATAAATAGATATATAAATAGATATATAAATATATATATAAATATATATGTAGATATACATATAGATATACATATAGAGACACACACACACACACACACACACACACACACACACACACACACACACACACACACACACACACACACACACACACACACACACACACACACACACACACACACACATTATATATATATATATATATATATATATATATATATATATATATATATATATATATATATATATATATATATATATATACATATATATATATATATATATATATATATATATATATATATATATATATATATATATATATATATATATATATATATATATATATATATATATATATATATATATATATATATATATATATATATATATATATATATATATATATATATATATATATATATATATATATATATATATGTATATATATATATATATATATATATATATATATATAGTATATATATATATATATATATATA